AAGTGGGAATGAAGTTAGATTTGATTATAGCAGGTGATTTTAATCTTTTTTTGTGTTTTATTTGAATTGCCTGACATTGGGAAATGAGAAAAGTGGTGATTATTAGGTTGGTTTTGGGCATAAGAGAATGAAGTCCAAAGAGTTGTACCAAATGGTAGTTGGAGGTGCTTGTTCTGCTGCCATTAGTATGGGTCAAAACAATAGTCTGTCCCTTATAGTTTTCATTGCATACGCAAGTCAAAGAGGATGTTGTTTCTTCATAAGGCTTCCATTGAATCCATTCTGTTGAATTCTTAAACCAGGCAATCTGGGGGTGGGATGGATGGCTGTTAGGGGTGTCATCTGCCTCTAATACTTCTTAGAACAGAGCAAGCTTACTGATGTGCAGATTTGGGTTCTTCTTTTAGTTTTCTCTTCTTTCTTTTTTTTCCCTTGGTATGCCATTCTTTTTGGACGAATGGTTTGGTTTTCAATATTTTAATTGCATCATTTTAGTACTTGAAGTATTGAATATATTTTTATATTGTCCTTCAAACTAACAGTGTCCAAATTGCTAACGGTTTTTTATTATAAACTTGTCACGTAATATCTAAATTTGAGCAAAAAAATAATTTGGATAGCTCTTGACCAAATTTTTACCCAAATTTTGGTCAAAAAGCTTCCCAAATTACACACTTTTGATTGTGAGCTATCCAAAATTTTGTCAATAGCTACCCATATTACACATGTTTTTTTTGTGAAAAGCTACCCAAATTTCGGTCAAGAACTACGCAAATTATTTTTTGTTCATATTTAGGTATTACGTGACATGTTTATAATAAAAAATCGTTAGTAATTTGAATGTTATCTGCTTGAGAGACTACATAAAAATATATGCAATTAATATATTGAAAATCAAATGAAACAAACTCTATACTTTGAAGACCTCTAATGCAATTAACCCAATATACAAACAGTGAAATGTTTGTTGGTCTAGGACTCTAGGTGGTGGCATAAATGCTGGTGTATATGTCTCAATGCCCAACCTCGTGTGCATTTTGTTCTGCAAATTTCTTTTGTAAACAAAACAGATGTAGTTCTACTATAAGGTTATAAATTTAAAAGATAAGCCTGATAGAATAAAAAGCTGCTTTCATATTGTAGTAATACCTCTCTTTCCCTTTTAATGCATTGCTTATATCACATATGGCTCATGATCGAACTTATTTCCGTTTTTCTTGAAATTTGTGAATCAATGGTTAGTGTTACTTTCAGGTAACATCACCATATGGAAACACCCTTCATCGCACGGGAAATTCTACACATGGCAAATTTGCATTTACAACTGATGAGGCTGGCAACTACCTGGCATGTTTCTGGGTGGATGGCCATAATCAAGGAGGTGGAGATATAAGTATCAACCTCGAGTGGAAAACTGGAATTGCAGCAAAGGATTGGGAATCAGTTGCAAGTAAAGAGCAAATTGAGGTGAGTCCTTCCTTTATATTTCTTTTGTTCTGTTGTTTCCGACCAGGCCTTTATCTTCTTTTTTTTTTCTGTCACTAAAATGAAAATGACACTTCCCAGTGGACAGAAGTCTACGATCAAATGTCCCATTGGAATGTTTCTTTGCACATTTACTAGGATAGATACTATTGCCAGTTCTCCTCATCAGATGATTTTCTAGTATCAAAACCCAAATTTTCCCAAGTTAACAAGCATGGATACGAACACGGGACATGGATAAAACACGAAACGGATGCACAAACATGATATTCCAAAAAAAAAAAGTAGAACACGGACATGTTAGTTGTAAATAATTATGTTTCATAAATCAGAAATATAAAATGTAATTATTGTATTATTCATAAAAAATTAAGTACTTTGTGACAAAATTAGGAAGCATGGATACTTTTCGAAGGGTGATGTGGTCCTGTCAAACGCATGTCCGTGTTGAAGCTAGAAGTGTCCTAAATAGTGAACTCAGTCACCCATGACAAGGACACGGCTAGAAATATTATTGTTTTTGTTAAAACGACTGTTAACTATAAAAGGGGTGTGATTTCTATTTTTTTTAAATACATTTTTTGTATGTAATTTATATATTATAAATGTTAATAGATGTAATGAATTTTTATGAAAATTGTGGATATTTATTTTGATTTATTTCAATTTTAATCAAAAAATTAATATTTGATAGGTCTTATTGTTAATATTGTTATAATATACACTTTATTTTTAATAGTCGTGTCTTTGTTGTACCTGTATCTAATATTTTTGAATTTTGCCGTATTTCCATGTGTCATATCGTTTCAGACACAACACTTGTATCCATATCCATGCTTCCTAGATGACAAGTAAGTCTTATGTTTTAGCATCTCTAAGGACGCTCTTCAAAATAGTTATTCAAAATATATTAAAATATTATATTTTTTATTTTAAAGAATTACTTTTATAAAGTTACTCCAACCATGCTTTCTATTTTAGCTAACTATTATTAACATTTTAAGTCAAAATTATTGCATAGCTTGACATATCATCAAAATATAAAATAGTTAGCCCCTTAAAGTGCAAAAAGAGTGATTTGGCTCTTCAAATATAAAATAGCTAGTCAAAGAGGCTCTCTAAATGTAGAGTCATTTATCCCAAATATAAAATAGTTAGTCAAATAGCTACTCCCTTGGAATAAGATTTTATGATTTTACTCTTTATTTTAGCTAACATATATAAAATAACTAGCCCCTCACAAATGCTCTTATGCTTAGTAAACTATAGTGGATTTTCAGACAACAAAATCATAGTATCTATTTTTTTTCTAGATACTTTTTTAGCAAACATATATAATTATTATTGATAGTTCTAGTTCTCATGTTGTCAATTTGAAGTGCAACTTGAACATGATTAGTCTTAGCGATTAAATATTCATGCACAAAATAAATTAGCCATTTGTCACTTTGTGCAAGAAAGTCATTTGTCAAATTTTTTTGGTTTTGTTAATTACGTGTTAACCCAAGTATATATTTTAATAGCAGATACGACTTGAAAATGTATCGGATACATTAATAAAGCAGTATTGAATGTGTGAACTTAAATTTTTATCATTTAATTATGGACACGAATAAAACAATATCAAAGATGTGTCGGACAATGTCCATGTCCGACACTAATACGTCACCTTCGTAAAAGTGTTCATGTTTATCATCACTTTGACAAGGTTTGCATCCAAAAAGATTATTGGTATCTGGTATATGATTTTGAATCTCTATTACTATTCTGATCCTGAAAGAGGACTCAATGGGTTGTAACTTGTAATCATGAACAGGTATCAAGTTTGTGGAACTTAGTTGAATTGCTCGGTGGTAGAGAATTTTGAACATATCTGTGTGCTTCTACTATTATTCATTGCCATGTCTTTATTACCATGTATAGGGTGTTGAGCTTGAGCTGAGAAAGCTTGAAGGGGTAGTACAATCCATCCATGAAAACCTACTCTACCTTAAAAACAGGTAATTGATTGGTATGGCTGAAATGCTTCTATTTTGATTTATGTGTATTCTTTTTCTTTTCTGGTAATTCTTTTGAGGGTATAATTTTTACAGAGAAGCAGAGTTGAGGACAATGAGTGCAAAAACAAATTCTAGGGTGGCATGGCTCAGTGTCATGTCCTTGGGGGTCTGCATTGGGGTTTCAGTTGTTCAGTTATTGCACTTGAAGCGATTTTTCCGAAAGAAGAAGCTAATTTAGGTTTTGTTAATTTAATTATATTGCAAGAGAGCAGATGATATCAATATTTTTTTTCCTTTAAATTTTGCAGAAGGAAAACTTTGGTGCCATGAGTTCAGTATCCTGCTTTTACTGTTTAGATGAGAACCAGTTAAGCAAGGTCTAACTCAATTTTGTTGCCTCTTATGTCTCTCTCTCTCTCTCTCTCTCTCTCTCTCTCTCTCTCATGGTGGCCACACGTGTGCGTGCGTGTGTGTTGTAAGGTGTGCACCAAAAGAGGGGGGGGGGTGTGCGACACAAAATATTGGTGCAGACTAGTTATTGGCTTGTGGAAGCCCTCGGCTAAGACACTAAACATAACATTGGAACTGTTTAAATTGGGTTGGTTTCTCAGTATCAAACCTGCATAACGGCTGGGACTTCTTCCTTTTCTTTATTAGTTTTAGAATAACACTAGAAAACACGGGACTTTTGAGCAATTCTTTCAATTGTCGTCTAATCTCTTAACAAGTTACTTAGTTTAGCTGCTCTTTGGCTTTCGAGAAGAGAGCATTTTTTAAAGCTGTTATTAGCACTCTGAAATCAGAGGTCCCTACTGTTGGGAATTGCCCCATATGATGTAATTCCTGGAATTTTATGGGCACAACCCTGTTGTTGTTGGTGATGGTGTTCATGGTCTATGATTGAAACCGACATCTTTCAGTGGTAGTAGTATTTTGACTAAAATTTAATGGTTGATAAATTTAGTTAAAATTTCACTTGCTAACACGATAAAAAAATATTGTAGAAACTCTTAAACTCGATTCTTTTACTAGGAGATGTGATAATTGACATGTAAATAAGATGCCATTCTTGGTGGATCCAATTTTCAAACTCTTCCGCTATTGGCTCATAATATTATTCTTTAATCGGTATTGTCACATAATATCAACAAGTGAAAATAACTAATCAACTGAATATAGCATTACTCAAGTTTGATGGATGTCTTCTAATTCCTCTTCACCCTTCATGACCTTGCGTTGTATATATTCTTGCCTTAGCCAAAAATGAAAGGAAAACAACCCTTACAAACAAGAGTTTCAAAGGTGATAACCAAGATATATCTAGATTGCAGGGATGACTCATGACACAATCGTTGTATCAAAAGATCTATTGGTTGGTAAGTTCAAATTCCTTTTCGAACGATTGGCACAATGTAGCATTCAAGCAAATTTCACATACTTTGGAAGTTCAAATTAAATAGTAAATTGAGCGGCAACTTAATCCAAATTAAGGAGCAAAAAGAGATATGTAAGCATGTTTATGACAAAAATTGTCCAAGAATGATCATGTCTGATACAGAAAAGCACAACTTCCTCCAGTCTGAAGAACAGAGTGACTTACAATAGAAAGCTAATGAATCAGGGAAAAAAATGCCCAATGAGTTGTTATTCAATTGAAACAATCTTACGATTCGTGTGTCTAAACCAGCAAATCTCCTCAAAGAAATCATCTGCACTGCTATGGCTGCTTTTCATTTGAAGAATCTTTATTCTCATCTTCTTTAGATGTTTTCCATACTTGAGCAATGACTCAAGAGTACTCATTTTCTGCTCAGCATTCAATGGTGATCTCACTGTGACCACCACTTCCTCCAGTGAAGGAATCACAAACTTTGAATCCACCTACAAAACGAGGAAATGTGTGTCTTTGTTCAATATGAATTCTAAATGATCATCATTTAGCAAATCAAATAGAGTTTGATGACTCTGATCAAAATATGGCCTCACATTTTTAAGGCTGTTCTTCTGGCAAAGAGCAGCAAACATGGCACCATGGGCGTCAAACTTTTGCAGCTTTGGATGGCAGTTAAAGAAGTCAACGAAATCAATCTCTGGAAAGGGTAGAAGGGCTTCAAAATCCCCAGTGAATTCCACCTTCATATAGAGATGCTTCACCTGGCTCGCCATTTGAAGCATTTTGCTTATTGCATCCCAACACCACTGGACCCCTCTAATGGACAAGGACTCAAGAGCCACAAGTCTCCCAAAATCCACAATGTTAACTCGCCCTGATGGAATTGCAAGCAAGAAATAAATATGGTAAGATTTGAAATCCTGTAGCAGCTTTGAGAGAGATGCTAAAATTACGTGCAAATAAAAATGAACTAGTAGTGATTTTCAAGTGAAAACTTTTACCAGAGTTGTTGGAAATGGAAAGAATCCTCAAGCATCGGGTCTCATGAACCCTAATCCAACTACAACCTTGTACCTCAAGGATTTCTAGCTTTGCAGCCGTGAGAGAAAGTAAAGAATTACCCAAGCCATAAAAATCAAGCTTACACTGCTTCAGATGGGGGAGCTCAATAGAAACAGATCTCAACCCCTCACAACCAAGTAGCAACAGGCTTTTCAAATTAGGACATGCACAAAGCACATCCGACAATGCAGTATCCTCCAATCTTGCTCCAACTATTTGAAGTTCTTGGAGTTTTAGAAAGGCATCCCATTTGGGGGAATGGGTCACTAACACACCCCAAAGCTTTAGAGACTCCACATTCAAGCAGCTCTAATGCAATCTAATTTTGAAGGTCTGTCCATACAGGATTGATGTTCAACAATGTTGTCCATTCGGAGTTCAAGGTTCCTTAAAGATGGTCCCAGGAATGATAGCCATGATTCAAGGCCGGCACTGGAGAAAGGGCAATAAACGACAAGTTCTTCTAATCGAACAATTGAAGAATAATATGCCTCACAATGCTGTCAGGAGTGTCCCCACCAGTGAGGTTATCAAAAATGTTGCGAGGGAAGTAAAGGCTCCTAAGATATGGCGTTGAGTCTTTCCATTTCTTGGAGACACAAGTACAAGATGCCACATCCTTAGCATTGTTGATGTGAGACAAGATATAGTGGATA